TTCGTCCTGAGTGACAAAGACAACAAGTCGTCTATGTAAAACAGCATAAAGAGGAACGCAATTTGTCAGGGACTCTTCTGCAAAGCCAGTGCTTCCACTGAGTGAGTTATATGCCTGGAATAAAAGATTTTTCTCTTTCTAGTTTCTTAAAGGAAGTAAGTCTTGCCTTAATCTGTCGATGTGTCTCTGCTGCAGAAAGAGCAAGAGAAGGACTACATGAATCTTCTTGTTTTCCTCCAATTGAGGTGAAAGAAAAAAGATTCCACTTCCCAGAGCCACAAGCTTCCAAGGCACCTCGTTCATTCTATAAACATTCACTGAAGGCCCACGTGTGTCAGGCATTCACTTGTCGAGGCACCAGGAAAACAGCAGTGAATAAACAGGCAGGATGCCAGGCCTCGTGGAGTTTACATTCTAGTGACAAGCTGGACACCAGGAGCAAGATCAGAAAATGCTGCAGACCCTGGTTCCTGCCCCCACTGCCAAGGCTGCTCCCCGCTCGACACAGGCCGACAACTGCTTCCGAAAAGGCCATTCTTCCCATGCCAGCATCTAAAGGGGAGAACCCCACCTTAGCAGCCAAACACTAGACACACACAGCATTTTTAAAAATCAAGATGCTAAGTACAATGAATAATAACTATAAAAACAGGATGAAAAATTAAATACAAAATCCTTTTCAGGCAAAAGCCAATCTTACAAAGCCATTGTTAAAAAGCCATTTAACTCATTCTCCTATCGATGAACAGAACCAAGCTAACCCTTCAAAAGAAAAACTAGAAATGGATCTCCAACTGATCTCTCTATGCAAAGTCCCATGCTTCTGCCCCAGGAAATCACTGCCAACGGGCTGATGTCAGCTCAGGTTCTCAGCGTCTCTAAAAGGAGAGGAGGGGGAAATTCACATTGTGCTAAAAATGTGCAAGTTGAAGCAATAACTCATAAAAGAGTTGAATAATAACCCATTCATGTTTAATTCTTCTGTAATTTCTGTGATAATTTTGAATCCGATGAACTCATTTGACATAATGTGAGTATCACAGGAACTTTTCCAGGATCCCCACTGTAATTCATCATTAACTGGACGTGTGTTCAAACATGACATGGTTTCCTGCTATCTGCCTCTAAAAGCAGGAGTGAAGCCATTTCGTTTGCCTACTGGCGTGCTTACCCATTTAATTACCAAAGATGACACGGAGCCAGTGTGATCCAGGCCCCTGTGTGTGTGCCCCAATGACCTAGTTTAATAAAATCTGGCCCCACTTCAAACAAAGCACAGATTTAATTCCTAGCTAGAGAGGCTGGATAACAGTGTGTACCTAAGAGCACAGGACAGCAGTACATGGAAAACCACGCAGTCTTACGCACCATTTAAAAACAGACAACAAAGCAGCCTACGTGATTTCTATCATCTTAACGGGATTGTTCATGTGACATTCATTGACTCTGCCTCCCCTCACCCCCAACAACCAGTTTCCTAAAATTCTGGGCTCTGGATCTATGGATTTAAATATTAAAATGTGGTTGGCCTCTTCTTCTCCCATGTTTTCTGCCTAAGGAAAAGATGGATTAGGGAAAAGATTAACCTCACCTTTCCTGAATAATGGACTCTGAGTCACTGGTGCTTCTAATCTATTCCTGAGGATAATTTTAAAGCAGAAAATAAGACACACATACTGATAAGTTTCTTCACATACTCAAAATCCGAGCATATCTCAGTCCTATTTGACATTTAGATATTTCAGAATCACAAGACCTTCTCCAGCAGAACTTAAAAAAAAAAACAACATAGTCTAAAAAAATCTCTAAGGTCTCTAGAAAACAAATTGTAAGCGACAATTCCCTCATATCTCATTATATGGTGCAAATTTATTTCTAGGATTCCTCTGGCCTTGTTCAGGTGGTGCCCTCTAATGACAGAATTACCTGCTCAATTTTAAAGCCGTTCTGTCTATGAAGCTATATTATGGGGTAATGAGACAGGCTAGTCTGAAAGGCATATTTGAGAAACGAAAAAGACTTTTAGAAGTAGATCTGATCCAGTGTCCAAGGGGGTAGTAATGCCTAGCGGTTAAGGGCATGGCCAGCTGCAAGCCCCACTCCACCCTTCACCACTGACAAGCTGGAAAACGAGGGTGATGGAGCACCTGCCTCATGGGGTGTTTGAGGAGCAGTGAGATGATGAGTTATCAGCTCAGCACAGCACGGAAGCAAGGGAGCACTCACTCTATGGTAGAGATCATCCGCATCTCAACATTGGAAAGTCATCCCATTCCATTAAGCATTAAGTACATGGCACTATATACTTCATCTAACAACCTCCACCATATGATAATCCACTAACTTCCCTTTTAACAAGCTACTCTTTATGTCCGAATGTCTCTTGCTGCAGAGTATGTACATCTTTACATAATCAGCATAAAGGATCTCATTAAAAATAATTGAGACAATTATTTGGATCATCTAGTGATAAAATATTTCAATCCAAAAATTATCACTAATGACAATGAGAATGCTAGATTGCTGTTAAATATGATTGTTTCATTTGAACACTTATTAAGGTAGTATTTTCACAAATATTTTCTACTGGCAAACATCATTTCCCCTAATGAAAAGTAAGGAAAAAACAGAACATAAAATTATTAACTCAATATCACAGGGGCCAAAATTTAGACCCAAAACGTCTTCATATTCTCACTCTTTCCTTGTTATTCCAAAGGCAAAGGGGAAAAAAATCAGACACAATATCCACAAAGTGAAACAGACAGCTAAGCAATTATCCAGCGAGGAAATTGATTTATATAAGCCTCCCTAATCCTCTTTCCTCTTTTCCTTCTGCCCCCTTAACTCATTTTTAAAAAATCCACATCATTTCTTTCTTTGAAACATAGAGCCCATATGTGTGGCAGGGGCGAGAGAGATTTCAGATGTAAATAACACCAGGGCCTTTTCCCCTAAATCACATAAATGGCTCTCTTAATTGATCATGTGTCCCTCTACTTTTGTATTCAGAGTATCAAATGTCCCACTAAACACACACACACACTCACACAAACACACACACACACACACACACTGAAGAAAGAAATGTGGACTATGAGCAGGGGTATGGGAAATAAACATCTCAACATCCACTGGAATTATAACTACTCTCTGAGGTCTCCTTTTTGTTATTTTTAAGGTAAAGTGGTATCCTCTAGGGGATGATGGATGGATAAATGATACAATAAGAAAAGCAGCTTAGTGTTCCACAAAGAGGAGCCCTTGGAATTTCCCTCTAATCAGTTCTGTCACCAACACCCAAGGAAGCAAAAGCTTTTTCCCAGGTCCTATATTTTGTGTCTACGGCCTGGCATCTTTTGCATCTCCCATTTCCTTCCTTCATCAGTCAACAGTGTCACAGTGGCAGCTGCCACCCCTCCACCACAGCCACCCCAACTACCACCACCATCCTGACCACCCCCACAGCCACCACCACCTCCACCCCAACCCCACCTCCATGATGACCACCAACACCATCTATCTGTACTGCGTTTGTTTCCATCTTGTTCTTTTTCCTCAATAACACATCATTTATCAGTCACATTCTCCACCTGCAGCCCTATCTCTGGCCCAGTATATCTCTCTTACCTTGTATTTGTCACCAATATCTGCCCATTAACAACAACATAACAGCTTTTTGTCTTACAGGAAGATTAATTACAAAAATTCATAAGTAGGGAAGAGACATTCATTACAAACACACTCAACACTTTGAAAGCAACTCCCTTTGGGGAAAAACGTCAAGTTTAAATAGTTTTGAGAACAAGAACATCATAGATGTGGCAATCCACAGAGTAAAGCCAACTTCAATAGTGTTGGGAACCGGAAAGGACACACTGAGTGTCTCTGCGTGGCAGGAACTCATTCACAAAGTTACTTTCAAACAGTTTAGATTTTCGTTTCCTAGTTTTACCCCGTAAAGCTCAGGCTACCCCTTCTGGCCTCCAAACCTACAGAAGCTACTGTCCCTCTGATAAGTTCATTTCATGCAAGCCAAGTGTCCAGTCAAAGCCATCCCCCAAACTATTATTTTTATCCTTTGTCCTCAATGACCAGAACTTAATAAAAAGTCTCCCTTCCTTAGAGTCTGTCCCGAGTTGAATCCCAACAAAGCAAAGCTAGCCTGGCAGCTGTGCAGGGCACCAATCACACGATTAGCATCTCTACTATTTTTAAAATTGTTTGTATTTTTATGACAAGTTTGATGATTTAAAAATGGGTAATTTATTTACATTATAATTTCCCAGTATATGGCAATAAAGTGTATTGTTCTACAAGTCAGTGTAGTCTGACAATTTTCCATCAGATGGAAGTAAAATGTCTGTGGAAGGGATGCCTTTGTCTAACTTGCACAAAATGCCATATGGGCTAGCAGCAGCTCTCATAAAAGCTTCTCTCAAACGTTTTAGACTTTCTGCGGTCTTGGCTGTTCTCTAAAGAGTCTACTCTCAGTTTAATAAACTCTGTTTGTACTGCATTAAAATACCCCCTGCCCGCCCGATCTGGTCTTTTTCTGTCAATAACTTGAGTTATCAAGCACATCCTCTACTCAAGCAAGCCCCTAAATACTACTTGTCCTATTCTGTCAATTGATATTACTAAATACATGTTAACAAGAACACGATAACCTTTTGTTGCAGTAAAAGGTTAATTACCACTAGGAAAGAGATGTCCACTATAGACACACTCCACAAATTTAAAATCATTAACAAAACAAGTTGCTTAAACTTGAGTTTCAGTCAATGTCTGAATACATTCCTCACATTTTAAAGAAAGCAAAAATTAAATTAAGCTCTCATGTGAGAATTCATTTTAATTTGCTTGTTTCATTAATAATAATTACAAAAAATTACCACCAGCTATTTATGTTGAGTACCAGAAAGTGTTACACACTTTGTGAGGCAATTATGGACCCAAGTCAAATGGAAGAATAAGAATAGAGATCCACATAAGCTCACCTGGACCCCCAGAAAACAAGCTTTACTGCCATTGGTGACAATTTGCCCTAGTTGACAATCCAGGTGTGGAAACCTTAAAAACAAAAAGATATAGGAAAATTTAGAAGAAAGGAGAAAGATTCAGGAAAGCATACACAGCAATTTCATTATAATTCTACTTCTCACTGAAAAATAAAGTTAAGTTCAGGGGTTCTCCAATCAAGGCAGTAATTTTACCACAAATAAACTCTTCATAATTGAAGTTTTTTCATAAACTCACCATTTTTCCATTGGCTGTGTCTAGAATTTTAGAGATACTTATTTTCAGATTAATCCTCAATGGATTACATGACTTCAATTTTCTTTCCATCTTAATCCCTCAAGTAGGTAATGATGTGAAAACTGATTCTTAAATACACCATACAAATGAAGTATCTTAAGGATTTACGACTTGGCTTTTATCAGGATAGGAATACCTCTGATACACAAATAATTATGTCTATTTAATAGATCTTAATTTGCTTAAATTGCACCAAATTTATACTCTGTTATGCTTATTTTCTTCTAATTCAGAAGAAATAAAAATCCGGAGGAACTATGAATCCTACAATATTAACAATATTAATATTAATTAAATTCTTAATAAAATTGTATTTCAAAATAAATCAGCAAAAATTACTTTCCTCTCTAAATTGTCAAGCAAGATTAGCAGTTAGGTGACAGAAAAGATGCAAATTTTCCTCCTAAATGCTACTGTAATAGATACCACAGAATACCTTCTATTATTAGATTGAGCTATATAAAATTGCTGATACCCAACCATTTTTTACCTACAAAAATGACAATCTCATCATTTTTCCAAACAAGAAAATAGACAGGATTGGAAAACCCAATGATTATGAAACAATTAAATCTCCAAAACTGCCATTGCTCAGCACATGTCATTTCTCTGAGCAGCATCAGTGTTTGGGCATTAACTGTCTCCATTCCAACCCAACATATCTTCATGGTACCTAAAAGATAACTGAACCGCCTCCAGCATTTGAAAGGGCTTGAGAGGATCCTTTCAATTCTTTCTTCCCACCCAGTCCCTATTTACTGCCAACTCCCTCTCAGCTTCCTCCCTACAGCATTAAGAGTCTTTTCCAAGACCATAAATGTGACAGAGAGAAAAGCTAAGGTCTGAAAGGCGAAAAAGTGAGAGCAAGAATGCAGATTCAGGGAAGGCTGAAGGGAAAGCATGTCAAATGAGTGAGGAAAAAATGCACGGGGGCTAGTCGAATGAAGGAACAAGATGCAAGGGAAAGAAAGCAGAAGGGCTGCCAGTACTTACATGGTGGGGGAGCATCACACCACACTGAGAAATTAAACAGGTCCAAGTCCAGATGGAATGAAGGGAACGTTTACTTCTGTCTAATGATATATTTAGTTACTCATCTATCTTAGGACCTACCCCAATCACCACTCCCACTCCACCCCACCACCGCTATGAACACCACCACCAGCACAACAAACACCACCACAACAACCCCACCACTATCGATGTAGCGTGGGGCATGCGCAGCACTACTGGAACTAAAAACCAACAGAAGAGACCATGTGAGTATTCTAGGTATAAAAATTTACATGTTCACAAGACATGATCTCTTCTGAGATGGAATAGGAAGAGCTTAAACAATTTTCCCTCCTGCCAGGAAACCTATTAAATGAGCAGCCTACCTTAAATTGTTCTGTTTTGTTTTGTGCATGAATAAGCAGTCAGTTGCAAAATAAACTTTTTGATCTCTTTTTAGTACCATTCATCTATTTCTCAAAAATTAATTATCAAAGAGAAGACACAGGGTCAAAATCAGCATTCTGACTATGCACAGTGGTGACTTTGCAAAGTCCAAGTTGATATGCTGGGTGAAACCTATTGTTTTGTTCATATCCAATCAGAATTTTAAAACAACATAGGACCATGAGAGGAAACACAAGGAGAGAAAATCCAGCATTCAGAGGCACTCTCCATTGTCCCAGCAGCGAAGATACTTAAAAGAGAGATAGTATGATCTAATGTGGACCACTATAATGTTGAAGGTAAAGGCATTAATGATGGCAATAGCTGAATGATAGCACTAATAGAAATAGCACAAGGAAACCATTATTATTATAATAAGTATGGCTACAGATAAAGAGCTGCTGCAAATATAAGAGCCCTGAATTAACAGACCAGTTGGAATTGCACCGCCCATTGAGAGAGTTAGAAAGCGTCTTTATGCTAACAAACCAATTGCAGTAAGAGTGTAAAGTTAAGGAGTGCTGGTTAAGGCATTTGAAGACTATATACACATGTTTGGAAGCAGTCAGTTACCAACTAAATGAGGCCATCCTGTGAAGAGCCAGAGGCTGCCTGAGAACCAGCTGGTCAGCCTTATACAGAGGAGCCCTAGGCCACCGGTAATTATCACTGCGATGTGAGCAGGGCCTACAGAACCTCAACCAGGCAACAGAACATGGAAACCAACAGAAGAGGCAGGAGGAGTGGGTATCACCTAATGCCCCGGAGTCCTCTAGAGAAGAGCTGACGAAGTGAACTGTCCACACACTAGCATGCACACCTGGAACAGGTGGCTGCACAGTAATCACTGAGGGAACTTGTTAAACATAAGAGATTTCTGGGCACTACCCTGAAACTTATTCTTGAATTTCAAGAATTTATATTTTCAAAAGCCTCCCCTGGGTACTTGTGGAGCACAGCCCCATTGAAGAACCAGTGCTAGGGCAATATATGGAAACTACCGGAGAAAGAGTCTCTCAGTTCGCCAGGAGCTTGAGCTGCATCAAGGCATGTTACACACAGTAGTTTACTTAATCTTCATAGCACCACTGAATAGATTTCAATACCTCAGTTTTACAGAAGAGAAAACTGAAGGGGAGGTCTGAAAGGTCAAGTAACTTACCCAAGATGCTAAAGCAAAAAAGAACAAATCTAACCTCGTGACTTCCTTCTTAAAGCTCTTTGGGAGGTGCCCATCGCCTAATATGGAATATATTCTAAACTCCTTTGCAGGCACCCTCCAAAAACATGGCCCCCAACTCTAACTCAGCCAGCTCCTTCAGACACCCATTCACATCCACGCTCCAGTCAAAGTAAACTTCTAAACAATTTCCTGGGGCAGTACTATTTCAAGCCTCCCTGACTTTGCCTTTGCTCTTGTCTCCTCCTGGAATGCCTCATGTTCCAAGATGGAGCTCAACCCTTACCTCTTTATGAAGCCTCTCCTGCCCACCACTGACCCTTACCCGGGTAGAACTGACTACTTCCTTTGATGGGTCCTGCGGTATTTAGAATAAAATAACACTTTACTTCTCTCCAGTGTTACATGTCTGATCATAGAAATAGACTACTTAACTTTTGAGAATAGGTAAGTGTTTAAAGACTAAATACAGTGCTAGAGTCAAGCCAGAATCTGAAGATGGATCCAACTCAGAACCACTATGCCATCTCTAGAAGACTTGAATCCAATTTTATAAAAGTAGCTACATTGCTATCAATACAGTAGCCACTTAGTGACTTGTGGCTACTGAACACTTGATGTGGCTAATCCAAAGGGAAATGTGCTATACGTGCAAAATTTTGTTGTTGTTAGTGCCACAGAGTCATTAGTGCTATTGACTCAATTCTGATTCCTAGCAACCCTGTGTACAGAAGAACAGAACCCTGCCTGGTCTTTTTGCACCATCCTCTCACCTTCCTGGACTATATCAGACAACGCTCCGCTGCTACTCACAGGGTTTTCATGGCCAATTTTTTTGGAAGTAGGTGGCCAGGTCCTTCTTCCTAGTCTGTCTTCGTCTGGAAGCTCTGCTGAAACCTGTCCACCATGGGTGACCTGCTGGTATTTGAAATACTGGTGGCATAGCTTTCAGCATCACAGCAACACACAGCTGCCACAGCATGCTATGCGACAGATGGTGGTATGGTACCCTGACCGGGAAACCAACCTGGGTCACTTCGGTGAGAGTGCTGACTCTTAACCACTGGACCACCAGGTCTAGTGTAAAATACACACCTGATTTTGAATATTCATTATGAAAAAAGAATGTAAAATATTTCAACATGTTAAATAATATTTGGATATATTAGGTTAAATAAAATACATTAAAATTAATTCCATCTGTTTCCTTTTGCCTTTTTAACGTGGCTACCAAAAAACTTAAAATTACATTGTGGCCCGCACTGTATTTCTATGGACAGTGTTACTCTACAAAGTACAGCCTTTCTCTTCCTTACTAATAAATCTGTTTAGATGATGTTAACTTTTCCTAATGATTACAGAGGCACGGACATCAAGACTACACTGCAGTGTTATACAGCACTGCCCTGCTGGACATACAGAGTTTGCTCCTACATGAAAAGCTCACGGAACATTGCTTTCAGAGCTCCACCAACTCACTGGAGTTCTTCTCTGCTACCAGCTCTGGGTACTTCACAGGTAAGTACCAACTTTCCTAAGGTTTCTAATCTTCTGTTCTAGACATCTCACTGAATTGTGAGGCAACAGACCTCTAGGGAAAAGCAGGGCCAGGACTGGGATGAGGCAAAGCACTTGCCTCAGGCACGAAATTTAAGAGGAACCAAAAACTCTGCAATCAAGATGAATAAATTTTTAAATAAAAGCTTTACTGATATGTAATTCATATACCATAAAATTTACCATTTTAAAAGAATGCCATTCAGTAGTTTTAATATATTCACAAGCAACCACTGACATTATCAAATTCCAGAACATTTTCACTACCCTCCAAAGAAACCTCATTCCCATTAGCAGATATTCCACCATCCTCTCTATGCCCAGCCCCTGGCAACCACTAATCTATTTTGTCTCTATGAATTTGCCTCTTCTGGATATTTGATATAAATGGAATCATACAATATGTAGCCTTTTGTGTCTGGCTTCTTTCACTTAAACGTGTTTTCAAAGTTCACCCATGTTGTACCACGAATCGATACTTCATTCCTTTCTATGGGTGAATAATATTCTACTGTATGAATATGCCATGTTTTGTTTTTCCATTTGTTGATGGACATTTGAATTGTGTCTAGTTTTT